ACAGGCAGCAGTGCTTATGGAGTGGTATTTCATTTAAAAACAGTAAACTCATTACATACCAACACAAAGAGCATTTGTCTTGAAAAGTAGCTTTTACAAAACTGAAAAGAAAACAATAGAGTGGTATTGTTTTACACTGCTGCAAATCTTTAGAAAGCCCAGCTTCACAGAAGACGAAGTGGAGTCTCATAGTTCCTTTGCCTTTAGTATGCTGCAATATGTTGTTTTGGTTTAAGTATATGAAGAACACCTGGCTTGACACAAATTTTGGGAAAGGGAGTAGTATTTAAATAGATTCTAGAGATGACTGTGGATATCCTTGATACCACAAGAAAATCCAAGTGGTCATTTTTTAAGGCTAGTTGTAACATGGGATCTGAAATCATATGACCTTCTTATGCTATTGCCTTTGGTCTAGCTTGCACTTAGAATGGGTCTTATACCCATATGTGAATTTGTGATACCATGCATTGATCATTTAATAAACACCAGCTCACTGAGTTATGCCAACCTCTTGATATTAAACACATTTCAAAATAAAAGATCAAAAATTATTCATTGAGGGAAAATACCATGCTTTAAAAAAAAAATCTATGTATTAGGAAGCTGTCAAGCTTACAAATCTATTTAGTCTGGAAATCTGTATCTTCAGTCCAGATCTCCCCAGTGAGTCCCAGACTTACATATCCAATTACCTATTTGATGTCTCTCCATTATTCGAGGCTCCTCAAACTCAACATGACAAATACTCAGGCTTTTCACTCAAAACTGGTCTTTTGCTGTCATGAGCCAAGGAATAACCAGCACTAATGCAAACTAGAAACCTTTGACTTGCCCTCTCCCTACCACCTCTGCTCCCAAAAATCTATAGCCAAGGCCTGTCACCATTACTTTATGGCAGGCTGTAGCCAAGGGGACATAAATGGGAACCCTCAGGCCTTACACACAGCACAGGCTCAGGTGAGAAGCTGGTCTGAACTGGCTCAGCAAGTTCAGGGTTCAGAACCCTCACACCTGGGTGATGTTGACTTGTGGTGGTGTAACAGGCCCTTTTGTTTGGGTCTAGCCTTTGAGCAGACTGGGTGAGGTAGATGCCAAGGATATGCTACTAAAGGCCAAGAGGTGGTCTGTCAACTTTCCACTCTTTAATACCTTGGAGATAAAAACAAGAAAACTCTGGGTTTCTCTGAGAAGACAGTACCCTCTTGCTCACCCTAGAACAGATCCGGGGTAATAGGGGGATTTCCTCTGGCTCCTTCATGTGACTACTTGTATTACTTAGCCTTATGAAACTAGAAGAGCACTTTCAGATGAGGCGAGTAAAAGGCTGAACCCGTGTCCCCACGGTGAAACTCCTTCATGAAGGCTTCTCAGTGGTTGTACCAGTCAACACTGGTGATGCTGCTTTGCACCCTCTCCTTTCATGGCCAGAGGCAGCTGCGATGATAGACGGGCCCTGAAATTCAGTGAATCTAATCCAGGAGGGCTGCAAGGTGGATCAGACTATCTTAAACCAGAACAATCCCTGTAACCTCTAAATGTAACTGAACCAATCCTACCCTTGGAGTATGCCATCAAATCGTATCAGTCACAACAGAAATGAAAACACACACTTTCTGAGTAAGAAATTTATTTGATAAAATGGCAACATATGAAGATATTTTAAACTATAAGGCTCTATTCTGGCATAATGTGTCTTTATTACAAAATAAATGCTATCAGTGTAAATGATACCTCAAAAGTTTCCTATAATGTATCTGTGTGGAACATTCATAAATCCTCATGTACTTTAAAACTTGGTTACAAATATAACAGAAAACCTATAAGTGGTACTTATAAGCAAGTTTCTTAAATGTGTGGCATTTACACTGTCACATACACAGGTGTTTGAGAATTCTGTGATAAAATACAGCTACCATGGGTGAGAGAGTCATCCCATGAAGAGGAGGACCAGAGCAGTGAGTAGTGTGCTGAGCCTTGCTTTCCTACCCAGCGTCTTTCATATCCTTGGCACTCTGAATTAATTAGGTGGTACTTACTTAATTGCTTCATTTGGTAATGATTAGAGAAGGAGGTTTGGAAACCATTGTTAGAGGAAGGGAGGGGAAGCTAAGGTGTGACAGGGTCAAAAGTTTTCTGTAAGCAGCTTTAGAAATGACCAAGGAAACAGATTTTGTTTTTAAAGGTGAGTCTTTGGAGCTACACACCAACCTGGGAAAGGTGGGGACTGACTCACATGCCATGCATTTGGCTGGGAGACACCACACCCTAGCATGAAATTTTTACCAGGGGCCACAACACAACTGGGGTGCACCGGCAACAGGGTTATACCAGTTTCCCCCCAGTAATTTCCCATACCCAAGTGACTGTCTCTGAGGCCATGAGAGGGACCTAGGAAGTGGAAACAGGCAGAAAAAAGCTTCAGACACAGGAGAACCAGGTATGGAGGTGATGTCTCAAGTGTATACACTGAGCAGCAAAGTGCAGAAGGTGACCAGTGGTTAAAGTGACAGGGAGAAATGGAAAAGTTCTCAGGAAGCCAAGGATGGTTACGGAAAAAGGATCATATAGCACCCATTCTTACTATTTTGATAGATAAATATCATCAAGGTTTTATATAGTGTCTGTACTGTCTTATTTTTATAAATATAAAAATATATAAGGGCTTTCAAAACAGTTTAAATGAAACACATTCTAATATAAATACTGCACTCTAAATTCATATAACCAACTTGATGCTACATAGATTTGGGGTTATACATAGAATAGGTTTTGCAGACCTTTTTCTGTACACTAATTGCGTAGCTAAGTGAATACCAAACACACAGGAAGCATCCTACTGGAGACTGGCAGAAGACATGTTTTTTATCTATGTATTGATGTGTTCTACAAAGATATACTTGTATAAGTGAGTTTAAAGTCACCCACAGGAGATCTTACATTTAAGACACTTTCCTGTTTCCTTATCTGCTACTTTGAAATCAAGTCTATGTGGGAGGGCTACTCAATGTCTTATGACTTCTTTTCTCCGAGTCTCACTGTCATCTTTGGAGGTGTGTATTTAAAAACAGTTTCATGTTTCCCATTCAGGCTATGTGGCTCTTTTAAGATTCCTAATCTTGAGATTATAATCTTCATTATCCATGACACTGATATGCATTTCAATAAAAACAGTGATTTTATGTAACCTACCTTTTACAAAGTGCTTTTAAAACAGGTTTGTTCCAGGCAACAAAGAAAGGAACCTCCAACTACAACCAGGTTGATCATTTGGAGATGACCCTCTCTGTACTGTAGTGTTTACAAAGTGAGATGAGCCAGAAATGGGCCAGGGTAAGAAAACGCTAAGGTTCCATAGATTCATGGAACATTAAAAACATGGCTACAGCAGAATCTAAAATTACTTTCTCCTCAGGAAGATGTCCTGTCTAATTACTCTATAGAATGATTTTGTAAATTGGCCTTTTGCATGTGTGAAGTAAAAGAGTTGCCTGACCTTACTCTAATGGTTCAAGAAAAGCGAAACCAACACTGTCACATCATACTTATAGTACAGAGCTAGGAGTCTGTTACAGCTTGAAAGCCAAGGCTAACTCATTCACCTATGCTTCATCTCTCCAAAACAAATTCCTCGCATAGCAAACTGATGAGTCTGTTATGGCAATAAAGTGACCTCAGCCTTTTTTCTCACATGTTAATGACCCAGTATTTGATAAAGGTATCAGCACTAGGTAACTAGTCTGTATAAATTTCCTGGTATATAAAAAAAAAATTGGGGAGGTACCAGGGATTGAACTTGGGACCTTGTGCTTGTGAGGTACTTGGCAGAACCACTGAGCTAAATCCCAAGACCCCTGGCATATAAATTTAATTCAAGTGAAATACTAAAATGACTAGCTTTAAAAAGATGGCACTAAGATGATGAGGTTGCCCTAGACTAGCTTATTTTTCTTCTCTAACAGAAGTTACTTCATGGCAAGAGATGTTTCCTTTGGCTCAGTTAACTTGAAGATCATTTCATTTGGAACTTTTCTTAGCTACTTAATGAAACAATAGAAACACAAATAAGGCAAGACTAACATAGCCAATTAGTGGGACTCATTCAATGGAATGACCTAGCCGCATGCTACTGCCACACTGACTAGATGGACTGATAATTTAAGCAAAATTGTTCTCATTTCCCAGCAGGTAAATACCACTGTTTCTCAAAAACGTGATTCTATAGTAGTAGAAAAGAGAATTCTGGCATCAAGGTCCTCACTGCAATAACTAGGTTGGGCATCAATGGCAAGACCTCAGGTTCACACCCACAGAGCTGGCACTGAGTATCTGGTACACTATAAAAGACATCTGCGCCTTGGAAGGAACATTCTGAGACCACAGAAACAGACCAGAGTGAAACTGATCTCTGGGTTCTTCATCCTATGACACATCTCAAGAAAAGCATCTGCAGCATCTGAGTGTGTAAGGCAAGATGGCCCCAAATCACAAGGAAGCTGAATTTAGCTGAAAGTTGACACTGAGCTTAGAAGTGCTTCCATTTGTTTGTTAGCGGTTCAGCTTTGGGTTTCAGACCAGTTGATAACATAATAAAAGGATAACGTGAGTAAATGCAGATGAGTTTGGTATTATCAAGCTATCAATACATTGCCCAGGTAAGTAAAATGATCTAGTGGAGGAATACTTCTGGCCTGGGAGTTAAAAAAGCCCAGTTAAATCACATCTTTCTCTAAAATTTCCCATAAAGTCAGTTGAACAAAGTATAAGATTTCCTGCTTTTTAAATGTCACTTTAGCCTCAATTTTAACTTACATTGTTTATTAAAATATCCATTCTAAATTGCTATGATAGAGAAAAAATTATCTGTGAGGAAAACGAGCCAAAACTTGGAAAAATAAGTAAAAAGGCATTTGCATTGACAGAAATCTTGTTTTAAAAGTTAAAACAATAATATACTAAATCTAAAAAATACTTTAAAAATTTGTCTTAAAATAGAGTGAGGTTTAGTCAGAAGGCTCAGTAAAACTTAAAAAGCTTGCCAATAAAAAGGACAATAAAAATAACCTTTTCATTTTTTACCCTTCCTCACTTTCTTGCACTCAGTCTCTGCCAGTTTGGATGTACTAAAGCAGAAGAGTCTAAAAGCTGTGAAAAAGTGCTGGTATATTTAGAATTTCTTCAGGACAAATTCCATGTTGGTAACTTGAATTTTGATCAAGGAAACTGATGAACTTTAAATGTATTTGGAGTCGTGGGTTCAAAGACTTCATCGTCATCTTCCACCCCTTCCTGTATTGGCTTCATCTTGGCAGAGGCTCGCTGGTGAGGGGAGGACATGTCTATGAAAACACACAGAAATTAAAACTGCTGCATGCATAATCAGACACTGGCATGATATAGTAATTATAAACTTCACCTGGAAAGCAAAACTCTGAGAATCCATACCTAGTACCAGGAATGCAGTGTCTCTAATGCCATTATTTTCAATCCAGCATTTCAGTGAAACAACAGTCACAAATAAGATTCTTGATCATGAGAATCAGACTCCACTGCATGTGTATGGATGATAAGCAATTCTCCAATACACTACAGTTACCAGTGAGTTGCCTCAAAGTCCATTTAAGGCTCAGAATAAATTTTCCTACATAAATGTCATACATGTTGATTTGTGTCCTGTGTTGGCACTTGAAAACTGATATAACTCATTTCCCTACAGAATGGTTCTGATTTAAAGCTTTGGGATCAACACTCCCTGTAGTACTGATGTGGGAGAGGAAAGTCCAGCATGGATAGGAAAGTACCAGACAGAGGAAACACAAGGTGGGTAGCAGCACAGGAAAGAGCATCCCTAGTGCCTTTCGGGATCCCATTTAATCAAAAGGAACTGAGAAATATTTCCTTTAGTTACCGATTTGTTCATGCATTCACCAAATGCTTATAGAGCATCTACCATGTAATGGACACCATGCTTGAAGAAAATACTTTCTAAAAGAGTAGAAGTTACTACAAATACAGTGTTCAAAGTGTCAAATGGATAGCTCACATGACAGTGTAAATACAAACTCCCTTCCACACACTTGCCTCACTCAGTGCCAGGATCCATCTTCCCCACCCATACTAGCCGCAGTGTGTATGTATTCATGATATCCAACTGCAGAGCAGCCAGTGCTGTACTCTGGGTATAAGGTGGGTGGTGGGAAAGTGGATGAACCCGACTCCTTAGATACTTGCAGAGAGCAAAGAAAAGTAGAGGGATTACAGCAGGCTGAGAACAGAAATTTGTCAAGCTCTGCTGTCATTTGTTGGCAAGAATTAGGAGCAGACAGGAGAGTGGGGCCAGTCAGCACTGAGAGCATGCTGTAGTGAGCAAGGAGGAGCAGGGTGGACCCCTGGGAAAAAGGCTGAAACGGGTGAAGGTAAATTACTCTGAACAAGCAGCCATTCCCTGGCCTAAGTATGGCAGACAAGGAGGCCACACACATAGTGGTTAAGACCAGAGCCTCAGGAAACATGTCCCTGGCTCAGATCTCTACTCTGCTGCTTCCTAGCTGGATCACCTACACAGAGTATTAAACCTAAGCCTCAAATTCCCTGTCAAATTTCATGTTGGGGGCTAGTCACAGGACCCATGTCATAGGTTCTTGGGAGGACTAAACAACATAATGCATGCTATAGGCTTAGCAGGGTGACAGGTACTGGAAAGAAGTCACCAAGTTTCACTAACTATACAGTCACTGCCACATGCTTGGGAAAATGCCACTACCAACAGCAACATATTCCAACATAAAAATTAATATTTATGCCAAGGCAGGATTTGGGTATAGTAATATGTGTGTTGTCCATACATGCAAAGCATTCATTACAGTCAAAACAGAGTTTCTTATAAGATAACTGACATAAACTGTAGAAAATGAGCCTCTATTAAAATGGTCTAAGAGGACCAGGGATTTAGCTCAGTGGATCCACCATCTGCTTCACAAGCACAAGGTCCTGAGTTTGATCCCAGTACCAAAAAAAAAAAAAAGGTCCAAGAAAACAATTCAATCACAAAGCACAAAGCACAGCACAGCAAGTTCTTTTTATCCTTTCTCATCAGGTGACATCAAACAATACAACAGACACAATCTTTAATTCACATGACCACTCAAACAGCAATGAATACCATCTGTGCAACCTTGGACACATTCCTCCAGTGTGCCACAGTTTCATTATATGTGAAATAATAATAATAATAATAATAATAATAATAATAATAATAATAATAATAATAATACCTGTCTCATGGAGATTAAATGACTCAATATTTCAAAAAAAATTTCAATCAGGGCCTCAAATATAGTAACTTTAAATGTATTTCAATAAATAACATTAATTACATGGTCTTTGAATGGCAGTGATGTAAATACTGTGAAAAATCTGTCAAAATTCACTCTTAGGAAAACTTTATTTACATTTTTTTCATTTTCTCATATTTTTTCTTTTGGCTTATTTCCTAGTCACACATGTGTAAATTCTGAATAGTTTCTCTGGTGTGAAAACCTATAATTGTAAATGAGATCCTAATGGTATAATTGACAAGGTAAAATAGGAATAAAAGGGCTAAAAGTGTAGGGGAAGTGGGAAGAGTAGGGAAAAGGAAATAAGGGAAAAGAAAAAAATGTGAGAAAATGAAAAAATAGAAATAAAGTTTTGTAAATAGGGAAGGGAGGAAATGGTGAAGTGAGGGCAGGGGTATTGGAAAAAAATGAGAACCAAGACTTATCATATGAAGGTACAAGATCCCAATGACGAATGTAACTGTACTGTATACCTAAAATGTACCAATAAACTCAATGAGAGAAAAAAAAAATTCATGCGTAGGAATGGCCAATACAGGAAATAAAATTTGTTGTCAAACAGGGCTCTGTGATTCTGAAATCTCTGCCATCCTGAGGGCAGCAAAATTGTCTTGGCAATAGCCATGGCTTTCTTGAATTATTATGTTTACCTCTCATAAAATATTAACTTAGGCTAAGTAAGAATTAGAATCATATGAATACAAGATCCCAATGACGAATGTAACTGTACTGTATACCTAAAATGTACCAATAAACTCAATGAGAGAAAAAAAAAATTCATGCGTAGGAATGGCCAATACAGGAAATAAAATTTGTTGTCAAACAGGGCTCTGTGATTCTGAAATCTCTGCCATCCTGAGGGCAGCAAAATTGTCTTGGCAATAGCCATGGCTTTCTTGAATTATTATGTTTACCTCTCATAAAATATTAACTTAGGCTAAGTAAGAATTAGTGATCACATAAAACCCCTAGGACAAACAAGAAGATGGTATGTTGTAAGAGCATCAAACCAAATCATAGCATTTAGACATACTTGTGCAATACAAACAATAGCAACACACTCACTTTATTTTGACTGAGGAAGGGGGACTAATTAGTGTGTAGATTTTAAAATCCATTTATCAAACCCAGAGCAATAGTCTATATATACTGAGGCTAGTAATCACTATGGTAATAAAATGTCAAACTAAAAAATACAGGTTTAATGCAAATATTGAGGACTGAGACTTATAAGAAAGAGCCCTGAACCAAAGCGCACTACCTCTTCTCATGACAGAGAGCAGAAGGTGACAACACCCAGGATACCACAGGGGATCTGGATATGGCCAGCAGAGTCTCTCCTCAGCATGCATGTCCAGGCAGTGACAGTTCTTCTCCTAGATTCACTGCCTGCCCTGAAGGTCCCTGCCTGCAAAGAGGACTGGCTCAGGTACCCTGATGATCCTTTCTGTCTTCCTCAAGTCCTGAGTTACATGAACCAGGGAGACTGGACACGATAATCATCAAAACTCTGGGACACACAGGCCTCCCAGTCACTGGTGACTGGTGAGGACTGGAGCTGCCTGAAGCCTCTGGTGTGGCCCCACCCCCAACCAGGCCTCCCAGACACCTGCAACCCATGAGGACCAGAGCTGTGTGGGCACCTGAAGTCCCTCACCCCCCACCTCCTGGCTGGGCCTGTGCCTAGATCCACACTGCAGAGGCACAGGGGGTCTTAAATGCCATTGTCCTGAGCTCCAGGAGACAGAGCAGAAGTGAACAACAATAAGAGTCCCTTACACCTTCTAAGTTCCCATCCCAAAAGGTAAAGTTACAACATTGAACAGTTTATTCACTATAAACATTTTGGGCTAGTCCTCGATTTTGATTTATTTCACACAGTTAAAGGTGATAGATTAATAACTATCACAATTTGTCATTTCTAAGCTGTGCTTGATTCTATTGTTGTTGCTGATTGTATCACTTGGGCTAGAGTTGTGATTGATTTAATCAGTTATCCTTCCTGGTATAATGAAAATGAAATTGCCCTAGAGTCATTAGATACTCAAAAACCTAAAGATCAGCTATATCTGGAATTCACCTATGAGAAGCAATCATTCCATAAGAGTTCTAAATACAAGCAACAAGGATACTTACAATAACCAATATCGAAGTATCAACCCAAGAATTAAACCAAGGACTGTACCAACAGCAATAATAGAAATGAAAAGACTTTTAAGCAAGACACAGTCTTCCCGCTTACCAAAGGCAAATTCTGGGGTAAACGAGGTGGAAAAGTCTGATAACCACCTCAACACCCTGAACTGATAGCACAGGAAATAACAAAACAGATGAATGAAGCTCTAGAAAAATTCAAAATAGAAATAATTTACCAAATAACTACAGATATTATGAGCAGAATAAAAGACATGATTAGAGTCTCTAGAATAGAAACATATTTTAAAAATGGATGAATTCAGGACCATGATGGAAATGATAACCACCAACACCCTGAACTGATAGCACAGGAAATAACAAAACAGATGAATGAAGCTCTAGAAAAATTCAAAATAGAAATAATTTACCAAATAACTACAGATATTATGAGCAGAATAAAAGACATGATTAGAGTCTCTAGAATAGAAACATATTTTAAAAATGGATGAATTCAGGACCATGATGGAAGCCTTTAATGCTCAGCATTGGAAAGAAATGGAAACTATGAACACCCAACACAGGAACGAAATGGAATCCATAAAACAGATTCAAACTGATGTCCAGAAGATTAAAAACTCTACTGAAAGTATACATAGCAGACTGAGCCAATGTGAAAACAGAATATCAGATACAGAAGACAGGATGGCAGTCAATGACTATAAAAAGAGAGACCTTTTAAAAATAGTAAGGGACCATATGAGAAATCAATCCAAAAGCTCCAAGATGACACAATAATATAGGGTTGATAGGAGTCCATGAAAAAGCAGGATAAAGTACAAATGACATAAAAAAAAACTGTTAAGGGA